GGAGTTGTAAGGGGATAGGGTCGAGGGGGCAGGTGGTGAGGCGGGCATCAGAGAGGACCTTGGAGACTTCCTCAATGGTAGTAAGGTCAAAGGTGTGGAGTGTTGAGGGGGCTTCAGTATAAAGAATGTTGGGTGGTTATGGTCCTTTAACTCCATTTGAGGCAGGCGTTTAATACCTTCACCTTCCTTTGGTAATATTTTCATACAGATGAGTTTCAGACACACAGAGCACACTGAGTTTTCCAATGTACAAAATTCATTGTATTGATTGTTAGGACTTTGGTTAGGGGATTGGACACGCTATGCAGTTTGTAATGAACTGTGGGAGTTCCATTGCTCCCTCTGCACGCAGTAATGCACACAGAGTCATTTAGAGAATATTTTTAACCTGCAGTTGTGCCTAAGTATTAAACAGCTTGACAGCACTTGTCAGGGGAGAAGAATCAGATAAACAGTGATATGCCATTTAGTCAAGTAAACCCTAGCCTTAAACTCTTCTTCATCTCCTCAGCTACCACTAGAGGTCATGATAACATTAACAACAAACCATAGACTGCTGCAGCCTACTGTAACATTGCTGTATTTGGAATGCTGCAAACCCTTTATCAAAAACAGCAACGCTGCACTTTACTAGTAACAAATGTTAAATGGTTGTTGATTTGTTAACACAACCCTTTAAAAAAATGCTTCTTCAATCAAAGTGCTTTCAAATTGCTAATATTATTCCCCAAGACAGTTCTTATTAATCATTGCTGTACTTAAAACTTTCCAGCATGTCAGCAACTTTGGCGTTGCTCAGCTCTCCTAATAGAGATGATAATTTCACACCCTATACAATGCAGTGTAGTTATTAGTTAAAATGAATTTAATTTGATCAGTGCCTTGCATTACTTTTTATACTTTACATATGATTTAAAGGCATTGTACACTTTCAAATGTTTTTGATGTTTAAACTAGGTTTAGTGTAGTTACATTACCTATGTCATTTGTTTGTCTTCCCTTGCAATAATTGACTCACATGTTGTAGCTGCAGTTTGTAGTGTTAAGGCTGATCAATTCCCCTATGGCCATGTATTCATTCATCTAGCTTGTCCCTATTCACAAAAGGGACAGGCAACTTCTTATCCTGGTTCATGCAGCATCCAATCAATGCCTCACTATATCTCTGTGTGGCATCACAAATGTAAGTGTGCTAATGCGATGAAAATACATCTCTTATTGCTCTGCCTGTTTGTGCATTTTTCAGGGCTAATTACTAGTTTTCACCTACAGAACACTAGATGGAGAGACCCAAAGATTGCAGAATACGAAGCTTCTGCAGAACACTAGATGGAGAGACCCCAGAGATTGCAGGATACGAAGCGTCTGCAGAACACTAGATGGAGAGACCCAGAGATTGCAGGATACGAAGCGTCTGCAGAACACTAGATGGAGAGACCCAGAGATTGCAGGATACTAAACTTCTGCAGAACACTAGATGGAGAGACCCAGAGATTGCAGGATACGAAGCGTCTGCAGAACACTAAATGGAGAGACCCAGAGATTGCAGGATACGAAGCGTCTGCAGAACACTAGATGGAGAGACCCAGAGATTGCAGGATACTAAACTTCTGCAGAACACTAGATGGAGAGACCCAGAGATTGCTGGATACTAAACTTCTGCAGAACACTAGATGGAGAGACCCAGAGATTGCAGGATACGAAGAGTCTGCAGAACACTAGATGGAGAGACCCAGAGATTGCAGGATACTAAACTTCTGCAGAACACTAGATGGAGAGACCCAGAGATTGCAGGATACGAAGCGTCTGCAGAACACTAGATGGAGAGACCCAGAGATTGCAGGATACTAAACTTCTGCAGAACACTAGATGGAGAGACCCAGAGATTGCAGGATACGAAGCTTCTGCAGAACACTAGATGGAGAGACCCAGAGATTGCAGGATACTAAACTTCTGCAGAACACTAGATGGAGAGACCCAGAGATTTCAGGATACGAAGCTTCTGCAGAACACTAGATGGAGAGACACAGAGATTGCTGGATACAAAGTTTCTGCAGAACACTAGATGGAGAGACCCAGAGATTGCTGGATACAAAGCTTCTGCAGAGCACTAGATGGAGAGACCCAGAAATTGCAGGATACAAAGCTTCTGCAGAACAGTAGATGGAGAGACCCAGAGATCACCGGATACGAAGCTTCTGCAGAACACTAGATGGAGAGACCCAGAGATTGCAGGATACTAAACTTCTGCAGAACACTAGATGGAGAGACCCAGAGATTGCAGGATACAAAGCGTCTGCAGAACACTAGATGGAGAGACCCAGAGATTGCAGGATACTAAACTTCTGCAGAACACTAGATGGAGAGACCCAGAGATTGCTGGATACTAAACTTCTGCAGAACACTAGATGGAGAGACCCAGAGATTGCAGGATACGAAGCGTCTGCAGAACACTAGATGGAGAGACCCAGAGATTGCAGGATACTAAACTTCTGCAGAACACTAGATGGAGAGACCCAGAGATTGCAGGATACTAAACTTCTGCAGAACACTAGATGGAGAGACCAAGAGATTGCTGGATACTAAACTTCTGCAGAACACTAGATGGAGAGACCCAGAGATTGCAGGATACGAAGCGTCTGCAGAACACTAGATGGAGAGACCCAGAGATTGCAGGATATGAAGCTTCTGCATAACACTAGATGGAGAGATCCAGAAATTGCAGGATACTAAACTTCTGCAGAACAGTAGATGGAGAGACCCAGAGATCACAAGATACGAAGCTTCTGCAGAAAACTAGATGGAGAGACCCAGAGATTGCAGGATACAAAGCTTCTGCAGAACACTAGATGGAGAGACCCAGAGATTGCTGGATACGAAGCGTCTGCAGAACACTAGATGGAGAGACCCAGAGATTGCAGGATACTAAACTTCTGCAGAACACTAGATGGAGAGACCCAGAGATTGCAGGATACAAAGCTTCTGCAGAACACTAGATGGAGAGACCCAGAGATTGCAGGATACTAAACTTCTGCAGAACACTAGATGGAGAGACCCAGAGATTGCAGGATACAAAGCGTCTGCAGAACACTAGATGGAGAGACCCAGAGATTGCAGGATACTAAACTTCTGCAGAACACTAGATGGAGAGACCCAGAGATTGCTGGATACTAAACTTCTGCAGAACACTAGATGGAGAGACCCAGAGATTGCAGGATACGAAGCGTCTGCAGAACACTAGATGGAGAGACCCAGAGATTGCAGGATACTAAACTTCTGCAGAACACTAGATGGAGAGACCCAGAGATTGCAGGATACTAAACTTCTGCAGAACACTAGATGGAGAGACCCAGAGATTGCTGGATACTAAACTTCTGCAGAACACTAGATGGAGAGACCCAGAGATTGCAGGATACGAAGCGTCTGCATAACACTAGATGGAGAGATCCAGAAATTGCAGGATACTAAACTTCTGCAGAACAGTAGATGGAGAGACCCAGAGATCACAAGATACGAAGCTTCTGCAGAAAACTAGATGGAGAGACCCAGAGATTGCAGGATACAAAGCTTCTGCAGAACACTAGATGGAGAGACCCAGAGATTGCTGGATACGAAGCGTCTGCAGAACACTAGATGGAGAGACCCAGAGATTGCAGGATACTAAACTTCTGCAGAACACTAGATGGAGAGACCCAGAGATTGCAGGATACAAAGCTTCTGCAGAACACTAGATGGAGAGACCCAGAGATTGCTGGATACGAAGCGTCTGCAGAACACTAGATGGAGAGACCCAGAGATTGCAGGATACGAAGCTTCTGCAGAACACTAGATGGAGAGACCCAGAGATTGCAGGATACGAAGCTTCTGCAGAACACTAGATGGAGAGACCCAGAGATTGCAGGATACAAAGCTTCTTCACAGGAAGTGTCAGTTCCCATGTCAGACAGATTTTATGCATTAGCCTGTGCAATTCCATGCGGCGTGCCTCATATATGAGCACAATCTGAAACTTTTGACAAGGACCATGAAGATTTGCTTTAGGCTGTGTGTACGGCCAACAAAGGACACCAAGAAACTACATGATCAAAACACATCTTAGGTGGATGAAAAACACATGGTGCAGGTGGAAAGGTTTATATTGCCATTAAGTTACGTGCACTGAAAAGCATGCATGCGTCCACTTCTTGATAATTCCAAATCAGAGACTCACTGGGGATAAGTTGCTAAAATGGTAGAGTGCAAAATCTGGTGCAGCTGTGCATAGAAACCAATCAGCTTCCAGGTTTTATTGCCAAAGCTTAATTGAAGAAGCTGAAGTTAAAAGCTAACTGAATACCATGGACATGTGCACCAGATTTTGCACTCTTCAGTTTTAGTAAATCAACCCCACTATGTTATAAATCCAGGATGGAGGTGGCAGCCCTGGAGTCTGTGCATTAAAGTCTAATTTTTTTTTTCTTGGAATGAAGGAGAATAAACATAATTGGCAGGTGCTTATTTTCGCCCATGATCCTACTGGGCAGATATTCCCTCCTTTCCTTTTCCCTGTTACTGCCACTGATGAAATGAGCATACAAATGAAAATGTTGCTAAACCTACAATAGTAAAATCAGTCTGTATATGCAGTAAAGCATGCTTGTTATACTCACTGTGGAACCTAAGGGGTTAATACTCTGCTTTGTGTAAAAACGCTGTTTGATCCTGTCTTCTCTGATCCTCCCCTTCTACCAGTGTCCCCCTCTTATCTCCTAATTAGACATATTGTGTGGAGTCATTATGCACAAGCTCAGTTTGGTGTGTTTTGCTAGAGAGGTTTTTTTTCTTTCTTGAGAGAGTGCATGCGATCAGCACAGGGCCAATCAGCACTGTCCAAACAGAGGTCAGGGGTTCTGCATCCTTCTAGAGCAGAAAGAAAACCCCTCCTACAAGCTTTAACCAGTGATCTGCTGGACACTGATAGAAGTCACAAGACTGCTGTAACTGCTGATGAGAAAAGGTATTTAACAGTTTATATTTACTAAAATAATTGCATTTCCATGTAGTGTGTACTGTGGGAGACCAGATGTAGTGAATGCAGGGTCTGGGGAGACCAGATATAGTAAATGCAGGGTCTGGGGAGACCAGATATAGTGAATGCAGGGTCAGGGGAGACCAGATATAGTGAATGCAGGGTCTGGGGAGACCAGATATAGTAAATGCAGGGTCTGGGGAGACCAGATGAATAGGGTCAGAATGCAGGGTCAGGGGGGAGACCAGATATAGTGAATGCAGGGTCCGGGGAGACCAGATATAGTGAATGCAGGGTCCGGGGAGACCAGATATAGTGAATGCAGGGTCCGGGGAGACCGGATATAGTGAATGCAGGGTCCGGGGAGACCAGATATAGCGAATGCAGGGTCCTGGGAGACCAGATATAGTGAATGCAGGGTCCGGGGAGACCAGATATAGTGAATGCAGGGTCTGGGGAGACCAGATATAGTGAATGCAGAGGACCCTGGGTTTAATAACACTTTAATGGCAGGGACAACAGCAAAAATATTATCAGAAGTTCTAACTTTTCCACATTCTACTAAAAATGTATTTTTGTCTGTATCTTCATTAGATATGTTTTCTATCACTTCCTGTTTTGGCATCTCTCCATTGTCAGAACCTGACAGATGCTTCAGTTCCTCCCCACTCTATCCAAGACAAAATAGGATGTTTTGGCTGGAGAATGGCTTGAAAACAAATCTGTGGCATGTGCTATATTTCTATCCTGACAGGTTCCCTTTATAGAATAAGCGCATTTATTTTTTATGCCCTACTTCTCTGACCTAAAAGCTCCCATCCTACCCCTCTGCAGATGCATTCTTACTGAGACACGACACCTGAAGGTTCCTGTGTTTGTTGACATCCAGTGTTGCAACTCCTTTCCCTTTCTTTAAAGTGTTACTAAACCCAGGACCCTGCATTCACTATATCTGGTCTCCCCGGACCCTGCATTCACTATATCTGGTCTCCCCGGACCCTGCATTCACTATATCTGGTCTCCCCGGACCCTGCACTCACTATATCTGGTCTCCCTGGACCCTGCATTCACTATATCTGGTCTCCCCGGACCCTGCTTCACTATATCTGGTCTCCACGGATCCTGCATTCACTATATCTGGTCTCCCCAGACCCTGCATTCACTATATCTGGTCTCCGCGGACACTGCATTCACTATATCTGGTCTCCCCGGACCCTGCATCCACTATATCTGGTCTCCGCGGACCCTGCATTCACTATATCCGGTCTCCCCGGACCCTGCATTCACTATATCTGGTCTCCCGGAGCCTGCATTCACTATATCTGGTCCCCCACAGTACACAAAACATGGAAATGCAATTATCTTAGTAAATATAAACTGCTAAATACCTTTTCTCATCAGCAGTATATAGCAGTCTTGTGACTTCTATCAGTGTTCAGTCGCGCACTGGTTAAAGCTTGTAGGAGGAGTTTTCTTTCTGCTCCAGGAGGATGCAGGATCCCTGACCTCTGTCTGGACAGTGCTGATTGGCCCACTGCTGATCACATGCACTATCCCAAGAAAAAAAAATATAGCAATACACCCCAAACTGAGTATGTGCAGTTTGCCCCCAAGCCTCTGTTCTATCAGGATATATTTAGGAGACACTGGAAGAAGGGGAGGATCAGAGAACACAGGATCAAACATCCTGTGGAAGATTGCACAGTGAGTATAGCAAGCATGCTTTACTGCATATACAAACTGATTTTACTGTTGTGGGTTTAGTAACACTTTAATGGACAGCTAGCTTCCTTCTAGAGAAAGTAGTTGGCTGGCTGTTTCTGACCTCAATAATTTTGGAACCACTGATCTAGAACAACCATGTAACTAGTGAAGTCAGAGAAATGTCAGAACTGCTGATTTGCCTATATATTCCATGTCAGTGACACAGAAAGAGTTGAAACCTCTGGACCAGCATAACAGCTAGGTTGCTAACATTTTTTACCCTAGCTTCACAGCTAAGCATTTTCCGCAGCATTTTGCTCTTTGCAGAAACGCACTACAGTCCATTTAACATGACTTCTTGTGGGACACATTCACATCTCCGCTTTTTCACACCGGTGCGTTTTTTGGAAAGGGTCAGGGTCTTTTTTGAATGCCAAAAGTTGCATTTTTGGTTCTATAGACGTCAATGGAAGTGTATGGAATGGAAGCATGTAGTGCGTTTTTGCTGTGTTTTTTACCATAATTTTTATGCATTTTGTGTTTTAAATCTTCCTAGCAACAAGAAAAAAAAATGCAAATGCATCAAAAACGCAGGTGCAAAAACGCAATGCAAAATGCAATGCAGAAACAGGTCAAACGCAAACTGTGTAGGTGTAAACCTAGCCTCAAGGAGAGTTCAATGATGGCAGCCTGCACACATTTTCACAGTACAGGTTTCATTAATTGCCATTTGTGGTAACAACCACAGTTATTAATCAAAATCTGAATTCTTAGAATAAGATCTAATTGTGGAGATTGGCTGTGCCCAAGTTTTCCTTTGAATATTCACATACAGACCATCCATACAACCCTGCTGTAACATATGAGGCCTGGTTTGTATTCTTTACATAATACATTGACAGCAGATTGTGTTTCATGTTGTCTGTGCTGATCTTCTTCAGATCCTTCTTCAATGGGCACAGACAGGCTTCAAAAAGAGAAGAGTTTGCTGTACACTTGGGGTAGAGCAGGATTCCTAAGATGATACATTCTAAGCAGCCGGCATTATGAATAAATAGCTAGGCACATGGGCTAATGAGTTCATTCTTCTGGTTTGATATCTTTCAAACTATGTGGGCACATGCTGGAGCCAGTTAGTTCAGATAGCTCTGCTGCTGAGGAGCAGATGACTTGGAGATAATGGTACCCTGTCTGGTTATGTCAAAAGTACACCCTTTTCTGTCATTAAAATTCTGGATATCCATTCACTTAAAGGACACAGTCTAAGCAGAATTGTGTTTTTAAAGAAACCTGTCATGAATGAAAAATGTAAGCTGCCATAATTGACCTCCTTCTGAAAATGTTAGAAGCCTCACTTTCAGTCACTGAGCAAGAACAATCATGTAGCTAGTGAAGTTGAAACTCTGGCACTGCATGTACACGATCTCGGCCACTAACTCAAAAGGTAGATAAGACAATCTGTGATTTATCATCTGCTCTCTGCAGAGCTACTGGCAGAGGAACCATAGAAATCAGTGGGGATCCAGACATCTGATACACCCACAAGTGTGTTAGATACAGGCAGCACTAACTCTTCAAGGCAGCAAAGATTAGCGGGACAGGTAAGTATTAAAACTTTTTTATAGGAATAATTTTTCTAAATTCATATTTGAGTGGTGACTTAGCTGCTTTAAGTTCCTGTTCTTACCAACATCCGTATTTGTCTTAATTGCTCTGCACCATATGCTTGCAACAATGCAGAACCCTTTTTTTAAGTGAAATAATGACAGGCAAAAGTCGAATTACTTTGGTTCAACAGTTATGAGATAGAATTTGGTGGACTTTCGTTCCAGCTGCAGTGTTTTCTGGATTGCATTAGCAGTTATTACTATTATTTTTATACAGTATTTATATAGCGCCAACAGTTTGCTCAGCGCTGTACATTATAATGGGAGACAGTACACAAGACAGTGCAGTAACAATACGATTCAATACACGAGGGGTTCGAGGGCCCTGCTCCATGGAGCTTACAATCTAGGAGGGATAGTGGTACAGAAGGAAATAGCTGTGGGGGATGAAGTGGTAGGAAGAGAGTGGAGGAGTTCAGTAATTAGCTGAGGGCGGGGTAGGCTTCCCTGAAGAGATAGGTTTTCAGAGTGCGACTGAAGGTGAGGAGAGTAGGTGATAGTCTGATGGATTGGGGTAGGGACTTCCAGAGGATGGGGGAAGCCCTGGAGAAGTCCTGGAGATGGGCATGGGAGGAGGAGACCAGGGAACTAGAGAGTAGAAGGTCTTGTGAGGAGCTGAGAGTACGTTTTGGGTGGTATTTGGATACCAGATCAGTGATGTAGTTTGTGGCAGTATTATGAACAGCTTTATATGTCAAAGTTAGCATTTTGAATTTTATTTGTTGGGCAATCGGAAGCTAGTGGAGGGATTGGCAGAGAGGGGTGGCGGATACGGAGCGGTTAGTAAGGTGGATGAGTCTGGCTGCAGAATTCAGGATAGACTGAAGCGGGGATAGCCTGTGGTGAGGTAAGCCGGTGAGGAGGGAGTTACAGTAGTCGAGGCGTGATATGATGAGGGAGTGAATGAGTTGCTTAGTGGTTTCCCTGGTTAGGAACGGTCGTATCTTGGAGATGTTGCGGAGGTGAAGTCTACATGAATTTGCCAGCGAATGGACCTGGGGCTGGAAAGACAGATTGGAGTCTAGGATGACACCTAGTACTCTGGCTTGAGGGGAGGGACTGATGGTGGTGTTGTTGGTATTAATGGAGAAGTCGGGGGGGGGGGTACTGGCTGGGGGGAAAACTAGGAGCTCAGTTTTGGAAAGATTTAGTTTGAGGAAGTGGAGTGACATCCAATCCGATATGTCGCTCAGTAGGCTAGTGATATGGGTGGAGACTGAAGGGGTGAGAGTAATGGGTAGAGAGATAGATTTGCCTGTTGTCGGTATAGAGATGGTAGTTGAAGCCTTGAGAGTGTATCAGTTGGCCAAGGGAGGAGGTGTAGATGGAGAAGAGAAGGGGCCCGAGGACAGAACCTTGAGGGACCCCAACAGAGAGGGGGAGTGAAGAGGAGGTGGCAGCGTTATAGGTAACACTGAAGGAGCACTGTGATAGATAGGAAGAGAGCCAGGAGAGAGCGGAGTCTCTGAGGCCAAGAGAGTGTAGTTTTTTGAGGAGGAGGGGGTGGTCGACTGTGTCGAAAGCCGCAGAGAGGTCAAGGAGTAGGAGCACTGAATAGTTGCCATTAGCCACCAACTGTGGTGAAACCTGGAGTTTCTCTTTAAATGCCAAGAAAAAAAGTGCTTTACCAAGCCCTATTTATATCTAAAATGAACACAAACAATGCTTTATAATTAGGAAACACGGTTCTATGCGTGAAAAAAACTTGCTTTATATTGTTTCCCGTGTCTTTGGCAGTTTTAATTTTCCTCATGCTTGGCATGTCACACTTGAGGAGTTTTGAAACAGGAAGAAAGAGTTCAGTGCCCATTTTCAAGAACTTGGCTGAAAATTAGATAGATGTCTCACTGCATTGTATCTACTTATTTAGCACATTTTTTATTTTATTTATTATTTGTAAAACAAAATGATTTTTAGTTTGATAGATACAGTTATATAACACTCAATTTTCTATTTTACTTTGCAAACATTCACCAATGGCCCAATGTTCAAAGTACTCTCCATCGTATTTATTATATTTTAATTCCTTTTTTTGATATTGTTTATGAAGTGAGTTTATAATGCCCAGACTAACATCTGTATTAAACAGATTTAACATGGTAAAGCAGGTTTACATGGAGATGGAGACAGGGGTTCTGCAGGATCTAGGACTTTTTAAACAGTGGATAAAAGATCATGATGCCAGTGACCTTTGAATTTTAAGAGAATTTCCTCACCCCCATCAAACAAAAATAGAACCACAGGCCTAGATGAATGATTTGTTGCATTACTCTGTGAGTACATACAGTATGCCCTTCAGCTAATTGGGTCTCCCCCTCTATAAATATCAATCTGAGTAATACGTTACTATGTTCCTGGTGCCAGATAAAGTGGTTCTCTGGACCCCTTACCAGTTTTAAAATAATTGAGGTTCAGCAACATATTAAACTAAAAATGGCCCTTTTTTTTCTTTGAAAATCAATTCAAAGGTTAAAAGTTGATATTTAGAAACAGCTCACAATGTCAAGTTGAGAAGTGACCAGATAGTAATTGGGGATGTTACCATAGGGCAGTACTATGGAATCCGAAAAGCTACAGTATGTGCCACGTCCTGAATTCAATATATATCAAGAAAATACATGCAAGATGGACTTTGTAGGCATGTACCCTCACAACCAATGTTTGTAAAATTAATATCTTTATTATAGTTGAATGGTTAAAACCAAAAGGTACATACACAAGCATGCATCACAATAAATAGTTCCTTATTTTAAATCACAATATTGAATACCAGATTATAATATAAATCAAAAAATAGCATTAGAATGCGTTACCCCCAAATAAAGAGAGAATGTTAGATTATATGTGCACCATGGGGCTATCAGTGTAGAAAACATAATAGGTCTCGTTGGGGAGTAACCCTTGTTCCAAAGAATTATTTGCTTGACATGTTTCGTGACAAATCGCTTCCTCAGGAGCCAGTTGAGTGCATCTGGTAAGAAGAATATACAACTTTAATAATAAAAAAGAAAAGACTATAGGCCAATGGAGACCAGAATACAAAAATTTGCATTACTTACAATTGCGTGGATACCCAGTATAATTGAGTAAAAGCAATAGCAAAGAGAAGGATTGGATCCACCAGGCCAAAATATCTGACCACGTAGGCTATCTGGAGGCTGCAGGAGGCACCATAAAAAGTAGAAGTAAGGAATGGATCAACAGGTAAAAATTCACTATATGGTGAAATGTATAAATTGAAAGGTTTATTGATCTATATAGGTCTATAATATGGGTAAAAAGTACCAAACAGTACGGCTATTTTTGGTTGAGAATGGCTGATTATAATAAAGGATTGTAGTAATGGTAATTGGACAAGGGGATGCTGGGAGAATTCCGCAGTCCAGTTTCCATGCTGTGTTTGTTATTTGGGTCATTCATTCCACTGGAAACATTTTAGCTATATTGTTTTTACAATGTACAATTACTTGTACAATCATTGCTATTAAATAAATAAATGAACTCGATTAAAAGGACATTGCAAGAGAACTGGACCATGGCCTATTCCTAGAATATCACTTTCCAGTTACTACTACTGTAATTCTATGTTAGCAGTTGTGCTGATGGGAATGAGGATTCTACCAGAAACCTGTTATTGAAATGATTTTCCTATAGAATCGATTACATTTGGACATAGAAGATGCACAGACCTTGGAGAGTTTTGCTCTCTCAGAATTTAAGTAACTCTAAACAAATGCAACCTGGTTTTGGACAATTAAAACATAAGATCAGCAATGTATGCTGTTCTGGAGCCCCCTCCACCTTTGATATTCCTGCCTGATGCTAAGGGGCATAGAGAGTGGTGTTTGCATGGCAGTCCTTCTCCAATGGGGAAACCAGGAGTTATGTTTGATGTGTTGACTATCTTTGGAAGAACAAGGGAAACTACATTTATTTCCCATTTTATGAAAAAATCTTGCAGAATTTCAAAGAGAGGTAAACAGCAGTAGGTCAAGCAGTATTAGTTTAGGTCCTGAAACACCTTACGTATACATTTTTCTTTCCAAATATAACTACTTATGTTTGGAAAGTCTGTCAGAAGCATGTTTTTCTGCAGTGCCAGTACCACTGCAGTGATCTGATCCCCAGCAGACACCTGTCAATAATAAACAATTTTACAGACTCACGGTTTAAAGTAGAACTATAGGCAAAACTTTTTTTTTGCCATTTTGGATAGAGTAAAGAAGGGTTATAACGCCTGACATTTTTTTGCCATCTGTGTCCCTTTGGGGAGATATACCTTTACTTCCTGTCCCATAGTCAAAACAGGAAGTGAGAGGAAATCCCTACAAATTAAAGGAAACCCTTGGGGCCCCAAGGTCACCAGAACCAGTGTACCCATTGGAAGATTTCCCTCTATTACTTTTCTGGGGACAACCCAAAATTTGGGATTTTCTTTTTCTTTCACTTTCAATGATAATGGTAAACAGGACAAATAGGGTGAATATCCCTAATGGGGGCACAGAAAGCAATAAAAACTGACAGGTGTTTTAATCCATCCCCACTATCCAAAACTAAAAAAAAAAAAGTTTTTCCATTAGGTATGCTTTAGGTTCGTAAACATTTGAGATATTTGTTCAAATCTAACTGTACATCAAGGTTCATTTTGAGCTGCAACTCTAGAAGGAACGTGAAGATGAAATGTCACTAAATCTGGGTCTTTTCCAAGAAAGAATGGGGAAAAGCAGCAATGCTTCCCTTCTCCATTACAATGAAAGAAATAGGAGTGCCCTAAACATAAAGATTGACTCCAGGTCACCAAAACATAGTAAACTGGTAATTCAGTCCAGAAAGTAATGCCAGCATGTCAGACGGTTTATGCTCTATTAGGGTTTTAGACATCCCTCTGCATCTGGTCGGACTTTATCTTCTTACAACGTGACTCTCCTGCATGTGCATGGGCAGGCTACACTAGGCTCAGAGGAAAGGTGGGGATAGAAACATGGAACTCAGTGGGCTGTGATTCGGCAAGCACACAATCAAAACTATTTAGGAGATTAGGATGCTCATAAGTAAAGGGTTCCAGCTGTACCTTTTGAATGCCAGAATTATAATTCCAGTCATATGGCAGATAAGCGATGTCCCCTGAGTTTGGTTAAATTAAAAAAATTAATGACTGATTTATGTGTACCTTTAATGCATATTTCAGTTGTGAAGAGATGATCTTTGCCACCTACTGTTGAGTCGTCAGTCTTGTATGTGATTAGATTTATAAATGTTAGCCTGATAGAACTATTTTCTAATGACGGAGAGTGAAAATCACCTCTTGTTTCAGCTCAGTGAGATCTGGATATTATGACATGCCATGAGATTCCAGTTCCTGTCCTAAACTTTCTATCTTCTGTCATTCAGCCTCACATTTCATCTATGTCCTTTTTGACATACTGTTTATTTTTCTCTGGAACAGTCAGTCCTGTCAGTTGTGACACTTCTAGTTGTCATTTTCCCTTCAGTCCCTGTACATGTCATTCATTACCGATGCCAGATTGTAGCTTTACAGTTACAATCCTGTGTACATGGCTGGCATAGCCAGTTCTGCTGCTTAGAACCGCTTCCTGATTTGCCAAGCATGAGAATTGTCACTTGGTTGAAGAACCACAATGGAAAAAAGCTGTGCTTCTGGGGTATGCCTACATCTTCACTTCATGTGATTTTGTGCTGTACAACCTCTCTGAGAATTTTTTGAGCTTGGATTCAGGGCTATGGAGACAAAACGACACTGACACTGACACTTCGCATTTACCCAAGTGCCAGTGTCTGTGGAAAGGGCTCCCCGACCCCCTTATACTCACCTTACCAGCAATCCCTAACTACAGTATTCAAAATGTCTGGGTATGGAGGAACATGTAATCTTCTCCCCTCTAAAAGTACTGAAGTCTAACAGTCAATTGCTAAGCAAGAGCACTGTCACATGTTCAGTGGAAGGACATTATTATTATTATTACATCGAGTTTATATAGCGCCAAAGGGTTTGCTCAGCGCTGTACAATATAGGGGGGACAATACATGGCACAGTACAACAATAACAAACAACGTACGAGGGGTAAGAGGGCCCTACTCTTTCAAGCTTACAATCTAGGAGGAAGGGGGTAGTGGTACAGTAGGAAGTGGCTGAGGGGAATGAAGTGGTGGGAGGAATGAGGGAGAATGGCCGTTAGGTGAGGGTGGGGTAGGCTTCCCTGAAGAGATGGGTTTTGAGGGAGCGTCTGAATGTGAGGAGGGAAGGCGACAGTCTGATGGATTGGGGTAGTGAGTTCCAGAGGATGGGGGAGGACCTGGAGAAGTCTTGCAGTCGTGCATGGGAGGAGGAGACCAGGGAGCAGGATAGAAGGAGGTCCTGTGAGGAGCGAAGGGTACGGGTAGGGCGGTACTTGGGGATCAGGTTGGTGAGGTAGTCAGGGGCAGTGTTTGTGAACGGCTTTGTAGGTCAGGGTTAGAAGTTTAAATTTGATGCGTTGGGCAATCGGGAGCCAGTGGAGGGAGAGGCCTTTAGGTCACCATTCTGATGCAGGCTGCAGAGGAGGAAGCTAGTGCATATGTGGAGCAGCTTCCATTCTGTTTAAAGGGAATACATCCACAATTTGAAAGAGCTACTTTAAAATTTACCCATCTCTTTGCCTGAACCCAAACACTTCACCCTGAAAATAACCTAATCTGCCATAAATCTTAGCTCTATCCCTTACTGTAAACCTTAACACGAACCCCTACATTTAACTCAGTTAACAGTTAATATGTATTCTAACATTTAACCTACCATTTAGCCCTGTATGTGTTCTTAGCTTGAGTATCTTCTGTGGCTCTAAACCTTCTCCAAACTTCCTGTTAGAGGGTGGCTGCGTTCAATCTCCACAGTCCCACTGTAT